CCATCTCCCAGGTGGGCAGAGCAGAGGTAGTAATGGTCCTTTAAGGGTATATTAGAATATTTCTAAGTCAGCCATCACTGAGATATCTAGGAACTCACCTTATGGTCACCTTCACCTTACATATTATCCCTTTATGGAGATACCAAAAAGGGAGACCCTTGAAATACATATCTGCCATAGAGGGGTAGGAAGTGTCTAAATTCCCTTCACATGCTCCTGGCATCTTGTCTCCCTGTGCATCAGAACTGCACCACTTCCACTTTTCTAAAGGCCCCACATGTCAATTAAGGAGATTTATTTCTGTGAAAAGGACAGAATCTAAATTAAACTTCTAACAAGAATTCCCCCAAGTAAACTTCTCTACCCTTCCTAGCTACAGGATCACTACTAGATATGGCTGCACTATTTACAGCAACAATTTATTTGACTAATTATCCATGAATAGATTTATTTTTGTTTGTTATCTGAATCAACCTTTTCTCACCTTGAACGCTACAGGTACAGTCATCTGCCAAATTAGCCTTTTGTAATCTACTTAATTGATTTGTGTATAGAGTCTCAGTCTTTTTCAATTGGCAGTTTATTAACATTTCTTCTTTCTTTTTCTGTGTAGCTTTCAGAGCTACATGACTTTTGTAACATTCAAAAATATTTTCTTCTGATTGTTTAATAATGTTCCATCCTCAATTTCATCTTTTTAAGGAGTCTGTAGGGGTTTATATATCTAGCTCTACAACCCTATAGTAAAAAAGGGTAATTCTCTCCAAATTTCACTCTGTGCTGCCCGCCCCCTAACCTCCCACTTCACCTTTCCTCTTCAGGGACCCCTCTGATGAGAAACTGCTCATAGATGACATTTTATCCCTCCTCCAAACAAGAATCATAGAAAAGGTTCCACATAGATACAGCAGGAAAGGTCTCTTCTCATGCTACTTTCTCAAATTAAAAAGAAAAGGTGGTTACATTGCATAATGGATCACAGACATCTGACCAAATCTATTAGTGCGTTAAAATTTCATATGGTGATATCAGCAACCATAATCACTTCTGTGTCTCCAGGAGGGGTTCACTGCATATTCCTCAGACTCTGTATGTGAGACCAAAACTATCAGCACTAGGTTCTGCCATTTGAACTCTTTGCAGCCCCAAAAGAGAAGACTGGGCATTCTTTATTTTGACAACTGGCTGTTTATTTCAAGGCAAATTCAGACATGCAGAATCATGGAACGTACAGGGCCCTGTTAATGGCACATCATGTTTCATAAAGCTCAGGTGATATCTCAAATTCTTATTAAAGTTGATCTATGATTTTCACTTATAACACAAACCTGCCTGTATTTTCCCCCAAGACCTATTCATTACCAGAGGACGCTAAGCTACACTCTTGAGACGTTAAAAGGGTACTAAATTACTCTCGAAACAGCCATTCTATAAACCCACCTAGACTATCTGTAGTAGATGTGGACACTATTCAGATATTGTCCAAGTGGATTTCTCTTGCTGTGAATTCACAAGGATTCTTATCAATAGGCACATTCCAGGAGGTCTAAAAGGGTCCCAACTGTATGTGCCAGAAATGTTTCCACAGCTGAACTATGAAAGGTTGCTACCTGAAGTTCTAGCCGTACCTTTACACAACATTAAGCCTGAGATTTAGCCTGTACATTGGATTTTCAGTTTGGGAGAGCAATCCTGCAACCTTCGTTTAAGTAAGATTGCTCAGATCTCCTCCTTTAGGTATATAACTGAAAAATGGAGTATCTGGTTCAATTTATTTAGTTATATGATGTAATTTAACCAAGATGCAAAAAAAAGGGGGTTAACAGGGAACCCAGATTATGAAGTAGGTTAAATTATAATTTTGCTACTGAGATAAAATATAGATTGTTAATTTGCATATTGCAAGAGAAAAATCTACTCCAAAGTATATAAATTAAGCATATAAGTATGGCTTATTTTATAGTACATCTGTCTGCATATTTTAGATTACTGTTCTTTATACTGCATTTCAGATCAAGACTAATTTCATTACAAAATTTTAATAAGACAATGAAAAATTCTATATGGCAATTCTTTATCAACTCTTACTATTGCTATCCACTCCACTTTTGGAAACCACAGCAAATTAGTCTCTGACTATGGTCATCTTAAGTATATCTTCGAATAGATGATGTCGGAAATATATTGAATAAACTCTGTTGGAAAGACTGCCATTGCCTCCTAATGCAAAATCTCTATGTTCAGATGCTCATATTATTTAAATTACAAAAAGGCAGGCATCAGAAAAATGGAATTCTTTGTTGGACAGTCATTTCCATGAAAATGCATTCAACTGTGAAGGGGGTCAACGAAATAGAAAGGAAGAAAAACTGCATGCTGTTAAAATATCAGCATAGGCTGCAACATTCTATTCATGCAGTAAGATGCATGGACTAAATTAAAGAAATGCCTTGAAATGTTCTAAAAGCTGAAGGCTTTCTATATATTTTAAAAAATGTCTAGCTGGATTTCAGTGATAACCCTTTCCTTTTTAGTTATGTTATTCAAACAAGAAAAAAAAGGGGGCATTATAAAGGAAGACAGCAGTATTCCACAACATTAAATAAAAATGTACTTAACTATTGCTAATATTGTTTTTTGGGTTGATAGGTCATAACAGTGCCAACCTTAGGGCTTGTCTGCATTGCCCCTAAGTTGAGTCCCATCCATACACAAAAACTCTCAGCTGGAGCATAGTGCTGCTTTTTAACTCGGGTTGGCTGTCCCGCTAGAGGTATAGGCTAAAGGTGGAGCAAGCACAGCTCATCAGCTGCTGACATGACCACTCTGCAGTGTGGACTCAGGCAAACTCCACTTGAGAGCCTCTAGTCCTCCAACACCTTTCCACAATTCCACGCGTGTGCCCAGAAAGGACAGTCAAGCACTCCCACAATCACTGGGAAAGAATTCAAAGAGAGGCTCAGCTTAATGCAGCACAAAGAAATAGGAGATCTACATCTCAAAAGTCACAGTTCCACACACAAGTGAATGGAGTGCCAGTGTGGACACAGCAGCTTGGGTGTGATTTTACAAGGTGGCTCCTCTCACTTGAGCTAGGCTAACTCAAGAGGAGTAACTCAAGTGTACAAACCTCTACTTAACTCTGCAGTGAAGACATACCCTAAGAGATAAAATTTCACCCTACATGACCCTGCTTAAATGCTGTAATCCCAAGGGATGTAAAAAATTAGAAGGTCTAGGCTTTCTTCCTTATAAGTCAGAACACAGCTGGAAACTGGCACAAGCTTAAACCAGAAGACCCAGTCCTGATAAAAGTGGATGAGGAAAAATATAGTAGAACACCTGTTGTTGTAACTGGATGTAGTGCACCTCTACATGTAATCATAGAACTGAAGGCTGAAAGGGACCTCAGGATGTCGTTAAGTCCAGCCTCCTGCACTGAGGCAACACCAAGTAAATCTAGACCATCCCTGACATGTGCGTGTTCAACCTGTTCTTAAAAACCTCCAAAGATGGGGATTCCACAGCCTTCTTTGAAAGCCTATTCAAAAATTTAACTACTACTATAGCTAGAAAGCTTTTCCTAATTTGCAGTAAGCGTTAGCTATTCAGTCCATTGCTTTTTGTCCCGCCTTCAGTGGACATGGAAAACAATTGAATACCATCCTCTTTATAACAGCTCAGAACATATTTGAAGGCTGTTATCAGGTCCCCTCTCAGTCTTCCTTTCTGGAGACTAAATATGCCCAGTTTTTTTAACCTTTCCTCACAGGCCAGGTTTTCAAAACTTTTTATCATTTTTGTTCCTGTCCTCGGGCCTATCTCCAATGTATACACATCTCTCCTAGTTCTGGTGCTCAGAATTAGACACAGAACTCCAGCTGAGGCCTCACCAGGGCGGAGTGGAGCAGGACAATTATCTCCTGTGTCTTACATACAACACTATTGATAATACACCCCTGAATATTACCTTTTTTTCACCACTGCATCATATAATTGACTCATACTCAATTTGTGATCCACCAAAAACCCCAGGTCCTTTTCAGCTGTATTACCACCTAACCAGTTAGTTCCCATTTTGTAGTTGTGCATTTGATTTTTCCTTCCTAAGTGCAGTATTTTGCACTTGTCTTTATCGAACTTCATGATGTTTGGTAAACAAGAGAAGTATGAGACTGGAAATCAATGAACCAAGACTCGTGTGTTGAAAATTAGGCCTAATTCGTTGTAAAAATAAAGAGGAGATGGGCTATTCCACCTATCGCTCCGCTTTGGGGTCCTCAAGAAGAGGATGTAGAGCAGAGATTCTCAAACTGGTCTGCAGACCACCAGTGGTCTGCAAGGTCCATTCAGGTGGTCCATGGATAGTTCCCTCTAAGGTGCATGGCTGGGCGGTCGCACATGACAGAATGAAGGGCCACCCACCTAATTAGTGCAGTCACACAGGGGGTAGGTGGGAGGGGCAGTGGGATGAGAAGACAGGGTGTGGGGAATTTGGGACTTGCAGAGCTGTGGTGGCCAGAGAAAGAGGTGACTTTCCCCAGCTCCAGGGCTGTGGCTGTTGGGGAGAGATGGCCCTCCTTCCCAGCCTCGCTCTGTGGCTGCTGTGATGGTGAAGAGACCCCTTTCCTTCCCAGCCCTAGCTCAGGGGCTGTTGCAGTGGAGCAGACTATTCTCAGTCATAGCAGATGACAGGACAAGGAGTAATGGTCTCAAGCTGCAGTGTGGGAGATTTAGGTTGGATATTAGGAAAAACTTTTTCACTAGGAGGGTGGTGAAACACTGGAATGCGTTACCTAGGGAGGTGGTGGAATCCCCTTCCTTAGAAGTTTTTAAGGTCAGGCTTGACAAAGTGCTGGCTGGGATGATTTAGTTGGGATTGGTCCTGCTCTGGGCAGGGGGTTGGACTAGATGACCTCCAGAGGTCCCTTCCAACTCTGATATTCTATGATTCTAAAAGAGAGCACATCCATCGCATTAGAAAGGTAAGACTACTGATATTAAAATATGAGTTGTGTGCTTTTATTTGTAGAACAAAAAATAGTTAATTATTATTACTTTTTTATATATAGCGTTTTTATCCAAAGTGCTTTACAATAGTTAGCTAACGGTACAAACAACATTTGGAAAGATCATTAAGTCGTCCACCGAGACCCTCAGCAATCTTCAAGTGGTCTGTGAAGAAAAACAGTTTGAGAACCACTGCTCAAGAGGGTAAAAATTATCAGACAGAGGGAAACATAAAAGCTGGCTGACTGAAAGATGAAAGAAAGAGAAGAAGCAGGCTTCACCATCATGGCTACCATCCTCACCATCTTTTCGTAACCCAGGATCCAGCCTGCCACCACTGTGCCTTCATCATCCTGATCCTGAGATATGTCTTGACCAGACTGGGTCAGACAGAGGGACCCTGATGACACTGCCATCTTCATTGGCTCCAGCTGAATCCTGAACACCCACCTGGGGTGTGAGACTTTGTCCCCCTCTTCATGTGTCCTTTTCCTTCTCAACCCTATTTCTTTTTTTTCCTATCTCTTCTCTTTTTTCCTTCTGTCTAATAAGAGTCTGGGTTAGCTTACCAAGACTGCACATTTTGCAACTTTTCTTTGAGCCTGTGACCAGAAAGAGGCAGCAAAAAGCAATGCCTTGAATAGCCCAATGTTTGCCAGGACTTGGGTTGCCTGATAAGTCTATGTCCTGTGCCTTAGATTTTCTAGCAGTGAGGTTGCAAGTGAGAGTCAACACCAGAGAGACGCTGCATTTTCTGTATTTGCTGTTCTTTTCTTTCTCTTTTCGTGTGTCTTTGTCTTGTTTCACGGTCTAGGAAACGGGATCAGACTTTAACAACAGTGAAAACAATCATTCCAGCCCATCTCAACTGACTTCTTTTGTCTCCCCCAAAAGACAGCTATTACGATCTTTAATACCATCTAAGAGACTGTCAGTTCAGGCAGTTTCTTTCCAAAAACTCTCTCCAGCTAAAGGGAAAGGGAACAAGGGATGTGGTTAAAATGAAACCCTTATTTAACACTTTACATTTCAAGTGTTTTTACTGTCTTTCCTTATTTTTCTGTATCTTTAATAAAAGGTTAAAAAGAATGTTTATGGTGTGTTTGCCATGGTATTAACAGGATGAGGTCACTGTATACCAAACCCTGAAGTTTGTTTAAACGTATGTAGGAAAGTTTCAGGGTCATGTTAACACCTTTGATTCTTTTGGTCCATTTATTCCTTTAAATTAATATAACAGAACCCTACAGGAGCCTGACTGAAAGGCCATTAAAGTCAATGGGATGCTTTTTATTGATGTAACCCAACCCATGTCTGCTTGGGGTGTCACTCTGTCCCCCTCTAGTGGTGGTCAGAATGCTAGTGATCGATGAGCTTGCTACAGCTTTGGCTAAGAGAGATGTGTCTTTTAGTTCATGCAGCAGTGGCTCATGCATCCCCGGTTTGATCCTGGCTGCCGGAATCTGTCAGCATTACAAGTGGGGGTTCATCTGGGATATCAACTGGGAAGTCTCTGAATCTCAGGATGTGCCTCCTCAGCTAGAGGAAGTATGTAACCCACGCCTGCTTGGTATGGTGCTCTGTTCCCCTCTAGTGGTGGCTAGACCAGGTAGAGATTGATAAGCCTGCTACAGCCTTAGCCAAGAGAGAAGTGTGTCTTTTAGCTCGTGCAGTAGTGGCTCATGCATTAAGCTCCAGGGATCCCAGGTTTTATCCTGGCTGTGGATGACCAGGGTCTGTTAGCATTACATTAACTTCAGTTTGGATTTTGGATCAGGCCTTACTGTAGTGTTTCCAGCTAAAAAAGGGAGAACATCTCTCTTGTCCAAATTACCCCCTCCTTGCATCCAATTCAGCATTGCAAGTAAAGGGCACAGAGATTCCTAAACTGGAATCATCAATTGCAGACAAAGGTTGCTCAAAAGGCCTAAAAAATCTTCAACATCAACACTAGTCAACACCCACCCACCTTATAAAGAGACAAACAGTTGAACATTTGGCCCAAGGCAGAACAGATGCTGATAATATGATAAAATACATTGCAAGGAATCTTAAGGGGAAAAAAGATAGAAAGAAAAAAATCTACTTCTAAACATTCAAGTATTACCAAGTTTCAACTAAATTAAACTGTTTAAATAATTTGAAATCTACAGAATTACAAAGGCCATGATTCAGGAAACTATCCCAATCCAAGAACAGTAGTTACTTACATGCTTAATATTAAGCACAGACTTAAAGTTAAGCCTGGGTTTAAGTGATTTCCTCAGTAGGGACTGAGCTAAGTGTGTGTTTGAATGATTTTCTGGGTCAGGATCAAAAACTGAAAACTGTTGCTATATAATACTAAAACAATGCTACAGAATGGCAAGTAATGTGTTGCTATCGTACATTTTCCATATGATTTTAATATAGTGAAGATGCAGATTTGTAACTTTTTTGTACTTATTTATATGACAATATAAAATTACATCAGTCTTTTCATGCAATTATGTAAATGGCCAAAAAGTTACCACAGAGCGTATTTGACATACACATAGTTTATATATCTGTTTATTGAGCATTGATAATTATGATGATTGATGGTTATTTCCAGCAACCATTTTTATCTTGAATGCTCGACATACAAACATGACATCACAGTTCAGACATATAGATTTCATTTTAATATAATTTAAGGTTTAACAAAGCGAATCATTTTTGATTTTTGCATAATTAAGTTTACAAAAATAATGTTACATTTATAAAATAAATCAGCATATCCCAATAAATTACAGTAGTGTTTTCCTTATTTGAAAAAAATGCAATGTACTGTATAAAACAGATAACATCCTTTAGCAAGATATCATACTACAGTATATGATTTTATCCAGTACATTCTGGCAGTTTGTGAAAACATTCTGTTGTACATTCTCTGTCTAAAATACAGTGTAAGAACCAAATACAATAAGCTGTGCTCTGCGTCAGTTATAGAGGCATTCACGAAGCGTACCTGGGAAAATTACAGAATGAACCCAAACAGGGTGAAACCTCAGTCATGAAGTATTTGGTGCATTCAAGTCAGTAGGCCCGAACCTGGTCCCACTGAAGTCAATGGAGCTCTGCCATGGACTTCAGTAGGAGTAGGAATAGGTATAGTCACTTAAATGGGAGTTGCATGTGCTCAGCACCTAAAAGCTACATTGTAGTTTCAAAAAAGACTCAGTTCCATACAGAGGTGCCGACTTCGTGATTTCCCCAGGAGTGCTGGACCCCCACTCCACCCCAGATCCTGCCCTTGCTCCTCCTCCTCCTGCATGCTGCTGAACAGTTGATCACTGGCAGGCAGGAGGCACTGAGGGGGAAAAGGTAGGAGCTGATCTGCGGGGCTGTTGGTGGGTGCTGAGCACCCACTATTTTTTTCTGTGGGTGCTCCAGCCCTGGAGCACCCACGGAATCGGCGCCTATGGTCCAATTTGCATACAAGGGATACAACCCTGCTTCCACTGAAATTAATTGCAAACCTCCCCTAGGCATCAAAGAGAGTATGATCAAGATCATCAAAAAGTGAATCATACATATCATAAAGGAGATGAGAAAGGAGACATTATTGCTCCACAGAGTAATGCAATATATGCTTATTCATAAAAAATACAAAATGACCAATAAAAAGGAAAACACTTTTTAAAAAGCAAAAGACGAACATTAAGAGCTATTGTATGCAGATTTAACCACAAATACAACTATTGCAGAATACCCTAAAGGAACACACATACTGCTCGGTGTTATGTGAATTCTCATTAAAGCATTCTGAGTTTACAAGTCAGCACTCAAACTTTTTCTAATTGTTTTACATGGTATTGTGGCTTTAAGTTTGCAAAAAAGGACAAAAAGTTCTTACAGTTGTGTGTATACCACTTTAAGAGTCAGGGAGTTAGCTGCCTGTGATGATTGTATGAACTTATGATGTTATAATAAACCAAGGTATTTGCGCCAGGTCACATCTCTTTGCTGAATCTCTGACTCCAATGTGTTATTTCATTAAAATAACCCAAGAGACCACATTATTTGGCACTTTTTAACAGCTTTTGGGGAGAAAGTCTCCATTAAAGGAAAAATCATTCCTCGTATGAACAACCAGACTGTGCGAAGTAGAAATTTTCTTGTGATGTCAATAATTCATGAATGAAAGCATAGCATGAAAACCTCTTTCTGAGTCAGTAAATAGATCATCATAACAAATTCCAACTGTGAGCAAACACAGTGTGTGTGCATGATCAAAGTCATTCCCTATACCCATGTTTCATTTTTAACACACAGCTGCATGTTGCAGGTTCTCTCATTTTACCGTATTCACATAAACTGATAGGTAAACATGACAGCTATCATTCTACACGCTTAACTCTTCTGGTATAGTCATACTTCAAGATCATGGTATCCCCACATTAGGATTTATTTTAATGAAACAGACCCTCCTATCCATTATGTATTTTCACTCTAAATGTAATACGTCTGTTTTATTTAACAACCTCCTCTTTTATTATTTATGAACTCTTGGCTTGTGTTAATCCATGTCTTAAGTTCACCATTCATAGCTAAACAAGCACAATTAGTTCCAAGTGACATTTCAATGAAGAAATTACTTACAGATCTAAAATAAACAATATTAAGATGACAACTACAAATGGGAAATAAAAATGAACCTGTTCAATTCAATGATCCAAAGGCATTACCAAAATATACATATGCTGTAAGACTACCAGTATCCCCAAGTGTACGGCAAATTCATCATTCATAATAGTGTACCTTGCTTTCTGAGTTTTGAAACAGAAGAATTATAAGAACAGCCCCCTGTACTTCCTTGGGTCAAGGGGTGGCCTTATTTGCTATCCTGAGGTTTCCACCATCCAGGTGTCCTAACAATTTATACAGTGCATGTAAAAGAAAAGAAAACAAAAATAAAAATAAAAAAAAATTATCACAATGGTTTTTGTTTTAAAATTGATTGCTGTGTTATGACTGTAGCCTGGTTTGTAGACATTTTGTAGTCTTGTCCAGAGCCTTGCGGAGGGGAAGGTAATGGAGTTTCTGGAGTTGCTGAAAAAGAATTAAGGGGAAACTATGTATTATTATGTTCTTGACCAATCTAAATACATATTGATGATATACATACTACTGTATCCTAAAAAAGTAGCTGCGTTAGCAGCTAAAGGTAAATATTAATTTTTAAATATAAGAAGCCCTGTGTATTGTTCACTTTTAAAAACCCACATTTGTAACCAATGGTAATATCAAAACAGTGTCATGTGTTTTCAATTCATGTCAAACCAGAACGTATTGTTTAGGAGGTTGTTTCTGTGTGTGGTGTTTTTATTTATTTAGTTATTTATTTATTTTAAGTGCATGACTATTTAAATCTCAGAAATTATGATGAAAGAAGTATACACTAACTTTGATAGGTCACCATTTTAATGAATTTGCCAATTAACTAAACATAACAGTCAGATGTTATGATAGAAAGGTAATGTGCAATTGCTTACAGATCTGTTCTGTATGTACAGGAGCAGACATTGAACTTATGAGAATAGTTTGGCCAGTTAATGGATCCTGAGCTAAATGAGGATGTACTGGATGATGAAGATGACTGGCATCATTAGACGTACCTGCAAAAATTACAAGAGCACATATCAATTCAAATGAACATGTTGCTACTAGCAATTTACACAGCAATAATTACATTCCCTTAGAGCAAATATTTTGATTGGCAATTTGAATAATTGCCTTTTGCATATTCATTAAACAATTTAACAAGACTTCAACCATAATAAGTATGACATTTGTTTTCAAGGCTTGGGTTGCATTAACAATGGATTTCATCCTTACAATATCTATAAGGGTTCCCCTGTCTGTCTCTTTGGGGAATTCTATGTCCAGGTACTCAGCTATGGCTGTGGACCATACAGTACACATTGGAGGTGGGGGGACAGGACAGTAGCCATGTTATCATGACTTTAACACTCCCCCCAAATTGGCACTGTCCCCTGGTAAGGGGGGGAGGAGAACATTTTTTTTCCAAAGTGCTTATCAAGTTGATACGGTGGAAAATCACAGAAAAAGAATGACACTTACCCCCTAGTAACATTTCCTGAAGCAAACTGTCAATTTTAACCATTCCAAACAGTTTGACCAACTGTATTTGCTCAATCATTTGCCAAGTGATGCTCTGAAGCGTAGGCAATAGAAGCAGAAGTTCTCCAAACCTCCCCCTGGAGTCATACTGACGGTCATTAATGTAATCCTCTAAACTGATTTGGACTTGGAACCGCATGTTCTTAATCTTTAATGGGTCACTCAATCCCTTTGCATCTTGAAAAAATGAAAAAATACTTCAAGTCAAAGCATATTCTTTGAGTGAAAAATTCTTTGTTCAAATATGTAGACTGTTAATGAATGCTACATCACAAAAGGTGAATTTCAGTGTATTCATACAGTAAATCTGAAAGACTTTTTGGAAAATGTACCTGGATCAAAAAACACAATTGCTTTCAAGCAAGCATACTCATTGTCATCTATTTGAATTTCCTGGAATGGTCGGACTAGCTCATCTAGAATCCGGTTTGCCACTCGGCTGATCTCGACTTCAGAACTGTTGCGATGGATGATATAATCGTTACCTTGAGGAGAAAAAAAAAACAGAATATGGACTGATGTTACACAAAGGTTTAAATTTACAGATCCAGGTGAACCAAACCATTTTTAATTTTGCATAATCAGATTTTTGCATGTTGAATTTTTCATACAGTAACATTCCCTCCTGCAAAACTAAGTTTCTTTACAAGGAAAGCATATGTGCAAAACAAAGTTCTGATCCCGTAAGTTCTTAGGCATATAAGTATTCCCATATGCATAGTTACTGATTAGTATGGCTGCAGGTTCAAGGCCTTTTGTGTGCACAAACTGGGGAGTTATCCAATTAGCCATCTAACTATATAGTTTGGGCCCACAAGTCCATTTTGACACATTAGATTTGGCACGGGCAATTAATCTTAGGAAAAGTCAGTGTTCTGTTTTAGAGGCTAGAAAGAGGCCACTTTGAAAATGTGGTCCTCATAATTATTTAAATTGCGTGTAAAAAATATAAGTCCCCACTTCTAATTTATTTGGTTTAGAATTCTAAACCTGTCTAAGAGAAAGAGAGGAACAAAATGTAACTTCCTAACAGACTGCTACTATTTATGGTAGCATAATCTTATGTACTTTATTATATATATATGTACTACCATAAACCCTGGGAATCCTACTCATGGACCATGACGCCACTGTGCAAAGCACTATATAAACACAGGACAAAGATATAGTCTCTGCCCTGAAGAATTTACAATTTTCAACTGGCTCAGTCACTACAGATGCTATTGAGCTTATTCTAGTAAGAAAAAGTTAATAGGTGAAATCATTGCCCCACTGAAGTTAATAGGAATAAATGGTTGAATAGAAACAAAATAAGATGTAGCTTTAGAACGATGAAGTAATGTAATAGCAGATGCTTGTGTTATATTATATGGGGTAGTATGCAGTACACATTGATTTAAAGGAATAACAGATCCATTTTGTTGGCTAAGATATTTTAGATATTCATATAATTTACACAAAATTAATATTTCTTTCCATCATTTTACCCAAGCAGGGAATTCTTTGGAGGCTTGCCAGGCAGAATATTTGGAGTAAGTAGGGGGATTATGTTTATAAAGAAAATTTATAAGGTATTAAATGGGGTCAACTCCCCAACAAGTGCCATATTCTGGGCTAGATTGTCAGAATCATCAGTAGAGGGAAAGTATATCTTCCTTCAGAGAAGGTTGATGGAGGTACTCTTTACTGGGAAGTCAGTGCTTCGGCTACATCTAGTAGTGGCAAAACCCAGAAACTTCCCATCCAAGAAACAATTTCTTCCATGGCTTCCACTTCTGATACATCTTGCCTGACAAGTCCTCAACTCAGCAGCTGACGAGAAGCAGAGAAAGCCTCCTCTAAACAAGAGAGAGAAGGGGAAGCTCTCCATCTGCTTTTAGCAGAGACAGAGGAGCTGCCTACACCGGCAATCTACCTTACTTTAACTTCTGGCCAAAAGTTATCTGTATATTAAAATGACCTGTGAGAATAATATACAAGGGTAAGAATTTTGTCATGACAAAAGATGATGATAATTTCCCACTAGGTCAATGAATCATCAGCTATACAGAATTCTTCCTCAGAGAGCTAGAGTAGCTGGTCCTAAATTGGTCCTTTCTGTGGGATATACTCACCTTTGTCATGCTAACCACCACTTTCATTTACACCAGTTCTGCTCATTACCTAAGTGTCCCAAGAATACAGCAAATACTTATATCTTTAGTAATTTAATGGGTATGATGAGTCAGTTTTACACTTCACTAGGCAGTTTATTCCAGTAAAATTGCACTCAGGAAAAAAATTGGACCAGAAACAGGAAAGAGCCTCTAATGTGAGTAGCATCTCTAGAGCAAGCGCTCTCCATTCCCTGGATGCTAGGGTTGGTACAATAACATTCAGAATGAATCATATTGGACCACAGATAGCCAGAGCCCAAGTATGAGCATAGCAGGCTGTGGAAAGTCCCCTAAACATGATGGCACAAAGTTGATAAAGAAAGGCTGATGGACTGCCCCTAGACCTTACACACTTTATACCCCTGGCTTGCATTAGGTGCTTCTGTCCAGGGACGCCGAGACAGTTCCTTGCAAGAAGGCAAAAGTACCGGCACAGATGGAACCCGCTGGTGGGTTGTGACATGAGTCAATGTTGCCACACAGGGTACCAAAGTATGTAGATCCATTTGGCAAGGACTTCCTATGTGGGTTTAGGTTTATGGTGTCAGTAGAACTGGAGCCATTTTAATTTGCAAGGGACTGTACATCTGCTTTTGCTGAAACCTGGCACGTGACAATAAGGTAGGCATACCATAAGTACAGTGTTAGGTATGCCATTAGTGCAGTGTTTAAAAAGACAGTGGAGTGCATTGCACTCATTGTGCTGTGGCAATTGTCCCAGTTAAATGAGGGCACTGTTTATCAGGATGCTGATTATATGGTTGTTAGTGAACTATAACATGGCAATTATTAATTAAAACAAAATAAATGTTTACCTAAAAGTAAAATGTCCTTATACGCCATGGACCGTTTTGCTGCTCCAAGCAAGAGGTGTTCCCCAGCATGCGCTCTTAGCAGGGCAACCTTAAAAAGAGGAACCCCCATAAACTAACAACATGAATTATAACATCAACACAAATATGTGATTATCTGTAGGGGACAAAATGAATCAGCGGCAGCAGGCATCAGAGTGCTGTTGCTTGCAATTACACCAGTCAGACTACTACAAGTAATTTTTAAGGTACATGGTTCCATTTTATAATAATATCTTACTATTTCAATGTAGTTGAGTTAAACTATGTCACTTTGTCACGGTTATCACTTAGCAATATGAACAAACTGAATTTTGAACATAATATGATTTCACAAATAGTTTATCATTGAATATATTTATGTGCACTTCATAGTTTCCAATTCCTTTTACATAAAGTTTGTTCTTGGATTTTAAGTCAACATGGAAGGAACCAGTGGCAGGAAGGCTATCATAACTTATTATCGTGAATTTTGCAATATCCAGTACAGTATTTTGTTCAGCCTGATCCAGTAAAACACAAAGATATTTGAGATGTCTCTTTCCCCCACAAAGCCAACCTTCTGGACATTGTTGATTTTTTTTTGGCTTAGAACAAATTTTCCTAGTGCCATACCAGGCCCACCTATTAGCTTTCAGAAGACAGTATGTTACTGAGTAATTCAACCAATTTTTTTAAAAATACCTCTCTTCTAATAAGTGAAATAAAAGAAAAAACACCATGCACAAAATTGAAAATAAAAATAACAGAGAAGTACTCCATTTTGCTGTCAAACAGGCAGTTTCACTATGAAATACAGACAATGATATCCTTGCAAAATATATAGAACAAGGTCTCTTTATGATAGTCAATAAAGAAGAAACCTGATTCATACCAGGAAAGCAGTTAAACAATTTACTCACTAGTTTATCATTTTACATTTTTTATTTACATTCCATTGTTTATAATGCCCTCTTAGAAGCTTGGCAATGAAATCTATTTTCTTGGGGCTTTTGTTTGTTTCCATTGTGCAAACATGAATTTTTCTCTTGTGATTTTTATGCTGGGATTTTCAAAGCCAGCTAAGAGAACTGAGCAACCAAATTAGAAAGCTTTCAGAATCTCAGCCTTAACAGAGCTAACACATTTTTTTGTTTACCTTGTTGTTCATAAACCAGGTTGACTCCGAGGTCAGGAAGAAAGTGTACAAAACGAGGAAGCTCATTTGATAAGTAAATGCTAGTTGCCAATTAGCAAGAGGTTATCATACAAAAGTAGTAGCCATTACTTTTAACTTCTCAGTAACAAAGCATCGGGTTTTCCTTGGAGTTTGAGGAGTATTTCTCACTTTATGTTCTAAGTACTGTAGGTCAAATTTTCAGCATAAAATTATTGGCTAGTGACCCTCTAAAGTGCACTTATATTCAGAAAAGTGTAAAGTTGGTATGTTCTTAATCAGCAGGTCTGTTCTTTTTCCTGTTCCATCATATCAGCTTAAGTGATGAAAGCAAGTTTTATTGCATCTTACATCTGTGGCCCCTACAGTACCAACACAACTAAAGACCGATTTGATTCCATTCTTCCTTCAATATTGTCAACGGAATTGTTTGCTACATTTGTGCAAACCCAGTGTAAGCACAGGTATCATGGAAGCAATAATTTGAAAGGGCATGCTTTGGCCTGAAACAGCTTTACTACTGGAAAGATGCAGGAGGAGGAATGTCCCCAGCTTCACTCTCAGATACAAGGCTGGGTTTGCAGTGCTGAGAGAACCCTTCATGTCTTTTTACTACAAACAGAGAATGTTTGACACTGAGGAGACAGTACAGAGGAATTCCACAATGACATTTTTATAGGGTCACTTTCAGAGTAGAACTACAATTTAAAACACCAAAATCAGGACCCTCTGAGCAGCGAGTTAACCTCCCAATCAGTTGCTTGGTGACAGTAATGTCCAGAGGCATGCACAAGGCGGGGGGGGGGGCTTGGGCCAGAGAGAGAGCTCCTCTGGCTCTGAGGCCATGGCAGGAGCTGACAGCTCCTCCAGCCCTGGAGCCATGGTCGGGAGAGAGAGCTCCTCCAGCCCAGGGCCATGTTGAAATGGTGAGTGTACTGCTGTTTATATCTATGCGTATGATATATGTGCATGTGTTGATATTAATCTGTATAATATATGTGTGTTTAACATGCCCCTCCAAGAGCGGTCAAATTTAAATTCCTACCTACTCCCCTGGTAATGTCTATTACAACATGAAGACCTGGCATTTGAATTAGCTTTAGACATCTCACTCAAAGCTAACAGATATCTGGCATGGCACCAAGGTGATGATATTTTGTCCCTAAAGAGAACTCAAGCACCGTTTACATGTCAATTTAGAATAAAATTTACATAAGCACATTATAAATGAAATTTTGGATCTTTTATTATATTATATTCAACAGCAAATTATTTTCTATGGTTTGGGATCAATATAGGTTTGATTTCTTCTCAAGACTGTCATACTTATATTTCTTGCAAGGATAAGAAAACTGGTTCAAATTAAATAACAAGCCACCTCAGTCTTCACAAACAGTTGCAAGTGAACATGAACCAAATGTTCTGAAAGGTTCAAAGGAGTTTGGATGTTTTTTTTAACCGTTATTATTAATTTTGGCATGCCTTTAAAGTTTCTGGTTCCAACAGAACATGAAAGTTGCAAAACATTGTTTCTGAAATTTCCAGTTTGTGAATCTTTACTCTTTTTTCCAACAGCTGAAACACACTTCAACCTCTACTATCTCTTTGTGTGATGTCTCAAGATCTGCTTCAAAGCTGAGATCTAGCATACAGGGCAGACAATGAATTGTTGCACAATATTTCTACATGACTGTAAAAGGAGGAGAAAAATCATTATTCTCCAGTTCATTTGCTTTGTACCTGATCGTCCAATGGTAGTTCACAGAAGGCTGGAATATATTTAGCCCACTCTACAAGGACCAAGAGCTGTTGCTTCATAGATTCACAGACATCGCTAATACTGGCAAGTTTCTTTACATTGATGTCAGTACTAGCACCAGGACTCGAGACAGGGATCTAGCCATGTTAAGCAAAAACAAAAAACAAAACAAAAAAAATACAGCCTGTTAGTATTCCATATTTGTTACTGTTTCCACTGGCGAGGAGTATATTTAACCAAAACACATGGAAGTAAGCATGCACATTAGTGCCGAACTCCCCGACAATATATAGATGACCAATATGCATGTAAATGATAATGTTTGTCCCTCATTGTTACTAGTATGGTGTACTTTAGCATGATAGTGGGATTTTTATTATTATATTTTTACAAGATCTTCTCATTTCAAGAGATGACTATTATTTGTAACATTTTTAATTTTAAATTTTTTTTTCCTTTAAAATGGATGACATTTACCTCACTTTAGAAAGAAAGGAATGGGAAGGGAATGTAATAAAGTTCTAGGCACACAAAGATAAGAGGGAAATATGTATTTTCAGTGAAAAGATAAGTATCATTAACTCTAGAAGATGAAACAGGATTTTTAAATGCCTAAAGCAGAAAGATTTGTAACGATGAGAACCAGTATGGATAGAAGCTGGGGATGTTTCAGAAAATGTACTAATAGGAGTGTATATAAGACCACCTGCAGTGCACAGTGTTCTGTGAAACAGAGAGAGAGGAATCTTTCTGGGCCTGGTGCTAGAAAGCTTTTGTATGATTGCTGAGCCAAATTCTTAATGACTTTCTAAGGAAAGGAACAATACTAAACTTGCCATTAAGCAATACAGGCAAGATGACTGAAGACAAAAGTAAGGCTGAACTAGGAAAAATATCTCACTTAGACCTATGGCATCCATCACGCTAGAAAAACCCGCACAAGAACTAGGCAACTGAGTTTCAAAACACAGAGTCTCCCGCTACTCTCCCCCTTTGGAAATTGGGGACAGTGTGGTTTCACTACCAAGGAGGGAGTAAAGGAATTGGGTCTCTAACACTGCAACTACCAAACCCCATCATGAAATCCCACTATGTTGCCGAGCTCACAAGATTTTTATTTGTTAATGTCAGTAAACTTTGATTTCACCACACACAAAAAAAATATTTCCATTGATAATAAGTAAAATTTACAGATAGACAAAGTAAGAAAAAAGCTGCTTGAGAACTTACTGTATTAGGGTTTGATTTAAGGATATTTACTTTGAATATTTTGACATGTGGTGTTGACAATTTGTGTTTTAACAGTTATAAAGCTTTAACTTTTTGAATCTCAGTGTCTACTTATATTCAATAATTATTGGTGGAACCCTCCCTGCCCCCCAATATCTGACTCCTCCAAAATTTCCTGCAACTGTAAATCAATAAAAATGGTGAAAATTAAACATCAATATTCTATTGCATTTTTTTTAAATGAATTCTGTCAAGCCTATAGATAACCAGCTGCATATCAGCTCCCAGTCCAATGCTGTAGCTAAGGGGGTGAATACAATTCTTGGGGGAATATTCTGGGGAATATCAATTAGGAGTAGAACGGTAACCTCTGCATATAGCCTTAGTGAGACCATTGCTGGAATACTGAGTCTAGTTTTGGTGTCCTAACTTCAAAAAGAATGTTGAAAAATTGGAAAGGGTTCAGAAAAGAGCCACAAGAAGGTTGCAAACTCTGGAAAACATACTTTATAGTGAGAGATTTAAGAAGCTCGATCTATTTAGTTTGTCCAAGAGAAGGTTAAGAAGTGTTTTGATAATGGTCTCCAAACAGGTAAATGGAGAAGAGACTTTCAGCAGAAGATGGCTCTTTAATCTAGCAGGAAAAGGCATTAGCAAGACCCAATGGTTGGATGCTGAAGCTAGACTAGAAATTCAGACTAGAAATAAACTGCAGATTTTTAAGTGAGGATAATTAATAGTCAAAATAATTTATTTAGGGACATAGTACATAGTACATTCTCCATCACTCTACATCTTTAAATCAAGACTGCATGTCTGTCTAAATGATATGCTATAGCTCAAAGAGAAGTTATGGGCTTGCTGCAGAAATTACTGGGTCAAGTTCTAAGACCTGTGTTATGCTGGAAGTCAGATCAGATGATCACAATGGTTACTTATGGCCTTAAAGTACATGAATCTTTGCGCTCCCAGAGGTTTCACAGCTCCTGGCTATGCTACCATGACCTTCCCTCTCTCCATTGTCCACTGTCCCACCCTCCCTCTCTTTTAGCATACAGCATGGAAGGGTAAGTAGGGAAAATCATGCTGACAGGGTGAGAATTATCTTGTGGTACTGTGTCCCTGATAGTTAGAGGGAAGGCAGATGCTACTGAGTCTCACTCCTACCTGGCCCTTCCACAATGGTGTAGCTTTAACCCTGCAGATTTGGGGCAGAGGAGCTCTTACAGGATTGGGGCAAAGGAGACCATGCTCTTCTCTGCTCCTCCTGGAATCATGTATTGTATAAATAATGGAATCACTAAAGTTAAAAGGAGAAGGATTAAAACATCTTTGTCCCTTCCTCATTGCTTCTTACATGTGAAAACTCTCCCTGAACCGACCTGTTATCCTACTCTCTTCTCCTTCAAATCTCTCTCTGAAGCCCATATTAAATTTGCCACATGTTTGACTGAGGGTCACATGATGCTATCTGGCACTTTATTGTCACACCTTATGTGTTTTACTTTTTAGCTCTTTGGGGCAGGACTGTGTCTTCAGATGTGCTTAGCACACTATGGAGCTGATTCTTCTTGGGACCTCTAGATGCTATGGAAATTTGGACCCAAACTTTCCAAAGTGAAGGGTATTTGGATTTAGGGCTTTTATTTAGGACATTATGGAGAAAGGAGAAGCCACGAGGTATGGGTTAGATAAAGATGAGAACTTTTCCTTGAGTTTGGGGTTGTTAACATACTTCCTTCAGGCCTGTCTGTAATTATTCATCTTAGCATCTACCAGAGAAGGAGAAGGCATTATCCTTAAATATTTATCTTTGTTTACTTGTTTGTCTGCCTATGTATTTTTAAGGTGTCCATCACTGTGGCTTCTGAGCATGGGCCCGAGGTGAAATATTAGTTTATTTGTTTGTAAACATGAGTTTGAAATATGAAATATGAATTAATTTGTACAATAGATAAACAACAAATCACCAGACCTGGCTAAAAGTTACTTAAAGCCTAACATTCTAAAAAATAATAAGGGAAATTCAAATACCTTTGAAGAGGCTTTTTCATTGACTACTAGAGTCAGATGTAGTACCAAAGTACCAGGTCGCCCATTCGTACCAGCCTAGCAATATTAAGTGGCTAATTGAATTATTTTATTTAAGTAAGGAACAAAGAAGGATCCAAGAAATTTTACAGCTTATGGGTATTTCTTAGAGACAGTTCCATCATATGAAAGCTGCTGACAAAGGACAAGATTACAAAACTTTTGGGGATGTATCACTCAGTATAAAACAGTCAGCATGAAATCATGAAGTAAAGAGGGCAGCAGTTGCCCTCCGAGTAAGTTATGAAGAGGTAAGGGAGTGTGAAATCAATTATTATGATTTATTTGAGTTACAGGAAAGCAGCAGATACTGTTCTACTCAACAACTGATTAGATAAAAAAGAAATCAGAGGAAAATGTAGTTCAAACCAGACAAAGAGAGTTCAAAACCAGGATGTGAATAGGTTCAGCATTTGGACCCCTTTTGTTAACCTTAATACGGTTTATAAAATCCAAACATTAAAGTTGTGATTTTCAAAGGAGCCTAACTAAGGGAGTTAGGCACCCATTGACATTTACTGGATGTCAGACATTTATCTCTGCTAAGCTCCATTGAAAATCCAGCCTCAAGGACCAGACAGATGCCACTAACTGCTTGAGAAGTACTTAATTTGAAAGTAAGGGGATCATAAAGCAATATTAAGGAAGAAAACTGGGACATATTGTACCTAACACAAGATGAATTTTCTTAAGTGACCTTCTTTACTGGCTTCGCCATCAGAAATAGATGTATGTTCTTTATTATTGAGTCTTACATTAGGAAGAAGCAGCTGGATTTCATTTTTGGAAGCAGATAGAACATTGGTATTCTCAATAATTATGCTTTATATAATGAGAAATAGGGAATATTTAACTATGAAAAAATCTAAAAGGGTGTTAAATAACTTCATGTGGATCACTGTACCTGCCGAGAAAGAGCCTCAGCTTGTGACAATGTGTTAATAGAGGGGATGTTGCTGCCATCAAATGTGCTCCTTCTTGTGCTTATCCTGTCCCGTTCATTTTGTACAGCTAGAAAAGAATAATCATGTCATTTATTTGCTTGTAGGCAGTGCGGTTGAACATAATTTCAGAGGGCTGTTATATAACTATATGAATCACAAGGTATGACATCCAAAGAGGACCTTGAAGTTTCAGCTCTGAGAGAGTCATGAGAAAGAGTGACAAGAAATCTTGTACATTTCTTATTCATATAATATTGTTTGTCACTAAAAATTATTCATTTCTAATTGTTGTTAGACACAGCATTTTTATGATCGGCTTTATTACAGTAGATTTGCATACTTTCTACTTTGAACTCAACAATACTCTGTAATTTGATTGGCTGGCCTCTCTTCCATCCTTAATTAATGAAGCCTAATGATATAGAAATCCCAGTCCTGTTGAGTTAGGTCAAGGGGTGTACAGAACAATCACTGACAGAATGTCTGAGTCACAGAAATTCTGATACCTCTGTTCATGCTTTCCTGTGAGAAACACTGAAACAAGAGTGAATAATGAACTTAATCCATTTGTAAGGTAATTTTGAGCCTGCAATATTGGGCTCCTCCTTAGGGACGTTAATTCCTGCCAGTTTATAGAACATTAACTAAGCAAAAATATTCCAAGCAGGTGGGTTGTGTCTCATGAGGCCCAGGAAAGGTGGTATAAAGGGCTTTGGATAAGGAACCTTAATGAGCACAGACAGGGCTTATTAAGTAAAAAGGCTTACTTTTTAATTCAGGAAAGAAGAGAATAAATAAAACTATCAATCAGATTTCTTAAAATCTCAATCGTATCCAAGGTTAGGCCAAGGAGAAAACAAGCATTGTGTTAATCAACATCTTTCTTTATTGCACTAGGAGTCTCATCATCTTTTAAGAGTACCAGTTTTATTTCCAATCATGTGTTTATTATTTTGAGGGGGAGGATTCTGCGTTACATTGGTTCAGTTGTAGCATGAAAGGCTTCAGTAAAATATTCTTTCGCTACACTGCACAATATCCTTTAGTTTCTATGATGAATGAACACACTTTATTCCAGAGATACACTAGCTTTTTTGCCAAGGACATTTACTGATGTGCCTCTTATTAAGTCATAATAAGAAATGTCTTGCAGTGTTAAACACTAAGTGTTATATGTTCATGTAGAGATGAAATATGATGTGTGTTTTTTTTTTAAATTGGAGAAACAAAATGCCCATTCATTTAGTAGCTCAAAAAGTAGGGTACTAAATACAAAATTAATTAAAATAATGTCAACATTACATGCGACCAGAAGAAGCAAGACACTGATGGTCAAATACTAAAGTTAAATGTTGGCATACCATCTGCTGGCTGAGCATAGAATTGCCAGTACTCCCTGCCTTGGTTTCCTTCCCCAAGATGGGTCTCCTCAGCGTCCCCACACTAGTCTGTGTTGGAGGTGTGACTTACCTCTTCACCCAAGTCACAAATAAATATAACCCCTTCAATGGTAGCAAAAGTGCGAACGAAAAAGTCCTAAACAAACCAAAATGGTTTCTCTGCCCTCCAGGGCTTCACTTCAGCCTGCCCTTTGGGCCCTCTTTTCAGCCCCTTTCTAAGGCCACGTCTACACTACCCGCCGGATTGGCGGGTAGTGATCGATCTATCGGGGATCGATTTATCGTGCCTAGTGTAGATGCGATAAATCAATCCCCGATCACTCTGCTGTTGACTCCGGAACTCCACCAGGGCTAGAGGCGGAAGCGGAGTCAACGGGGGAGCGGCGGCCGTCGATCCCGCGCCGCGAGGACGCGAAGTAAGTGATTTTAATTCGATCTAAGCTATGTCTACTTCAGCTACGCTATTCTCATAGCTGAAGTAGCGTATCTTAGATCGATCCCCCCCAGTGTAGACCAGGCCTAAGCTACTTTTGAATCTTTCCCCACTCCGCTATATAGCACTCACCAGCCCCCAAAGCTGGTTCCCCTGCAGTACCCAGTCTCCTGCAGACGCTGGGTAAGGACCTTCCACAAGAGCCTTCACACTCCCTGTGGTACTAACACCGTGATGGATCTCTCTTTGTCCTTTTATAAGGCCCAGGTGTCCATTAAAGTATCACCTGGCTGTCCTGTCCTGCCCCCCCAGGCTGGGAAGCAGCAAATTAATTATAGCACAAGTATGACTGGCCCCATCTCCTCTTACAGGGGCCAGTCACGGGGTGACAGGGCCACTTACAGAATCAAAAGGAAATACCTTTGTACTGCATATGTACAGGATTCAATGGACTGGATTCACCAGTCCAATAGAGTTCTTTGCTTACTTAGGCTAAAGCATCCTTAAGCAGGATGGAGATTCCCAACAGAAAATTCACTCTCTGTAAGGGAAATCTTTAATGGTGTAGGACTGGCATAGCCTCCATCAGCTGATTTTTCCCACCTCTGGCATAATGAGGGGAAGGGGACACGTTGAAGGCAGGCTGGGGATGTGACTAAACTGATCTCTGCTCTGCTCAATCCTCCCATGATGTGCGGGACCATATACCATCAGCACACACAGTGTCATTTAGAATAGGATCCCTCCAATTCTGATTTATGCTGCAGTTGGGCAGTTCTGAATCAGCATAGCTCAGATGTAGTGGAGAACCAGGACAATATGTTTTATAGGAAAAATGGTGTAAAATTGGTAAAAAAAGTTATGCACATTTTTTATCTATTCATTTTATAAGGTTTGAGTGTCCTTGAAATTCTGCCTTTTGCAAAATGTTGAGGGCCACAACAGATGATTCAACATTTTTCTTACAAGGATCCTGCAGTGTATTCAAATCACTATGGATTTTAATGGTCTGAATGCTAGAGGCCAAGTTCTGCACCATTATACCAGTGTAAATGCAGAGCAACTCCAGAGACTTAATGGAGTTATTTTAGATTTACAAGTCTAAATAAGAGCAGAATTTCACTATGTGACTGCAAGAAGAAAATACATTTAATCCTCTCCTACAAAAATGTTTGCCATTAGCAAAGCCAAACAACATATAAGACTACACAATAAACCATTCTTATCCTAATAAGGTACTTGCAGAAGCACACTGTAAACCCACTTCACTACAGTAAAGTTACAGAGTCGTACTGTAAACTGGCCTTATGATGGATAAAAAAACATGCCAAAACAGGTTGTAAAACAATAAACATAAGTCTAGTAATGTGGGAACCACAAAAGGCTCCATTTTTAGCTGCTTATTTGAACATACACAGGATGCCAACCAAGCCATATACTCTTTTGTCCTCACACAATGATCCCTCCCCAACGAGGCCTGAGATAGAAGGACCGTTCACCTCTCCAGCTTGGAAACTGCCCCATAGGGTCACTGTACCCCATCAGTTCCTTGATGGTCTGTAAGGGACAATCCCACACTCCCACTACATAGGAGAGTAGCCTTGACTTACTCGCTGCTGCTGCTGCCAGAACTTTATTATCTGACTGCCTCAGTAAAAGCACAGAAACTGCAGCCATCCCATCTGAGAAAAGGAGTCACAAAGAGCTTCTGTCAATCCCCTTGACCACATGGGGTAGACTCAGAGCCCATAATCAGTATCACTTAACTTGTGTGAGCAATAACAAGCAACCAACTTTGAAATGTGAAAATCTGGGCAGCAACATTTTTTGCAGTCAGTAAATTGCTTGAATTTCACCAACATTTCACAAATTTAAACAGGTCTATTTTGAAAAAAAAAAAAAGTCTGTGTAGTTTAGCCATCTGTTGTTAGAGCATATTTGGTATCTTGGATAAACAGATATCATGAACTTTTAATGTATATAATTTTATCTCTCATTGAATAGCCGGAGTGTGTCTTTAATAACTGCAAAAAATTGTTGTCACCTTAATAACCAGAGAACTACACACACACACACCCCACACACACCTTTTTCTGATTTATGCACCTCCAAGTTTTAAATTAAATTAAAGAGTTAACAGATTGACACTGAAAATTATTACTAGAGGTAGTCACCAACCAAAACCCTAGACACAAATTTCATATCTTTATAAACGAGTAGAACCAAAACTCCAAATCTGAACATTCCTAAATTTATGGATTCCAAACTTAGGTCTGATTTCAGATTTTCACAATGTTTGAAGTGTTGGGACTTGAAGCTAGGATTCACATACTACAAAGATATATTCAAGCTGCAAACTCAATTCTGAATCTGTTAATTTGTTATAGGCACAAAATACTATAACTTCAAAACTTAACGAACTTCAAAAATTAAATGAAGTATATAATAGTAAAATCACTCTTCCTTTGTGAAGGCACTCGAGTTACCTATTCATTGAGTTATTCTAATGTGACATTCTTTTAGTTTTATACTAAGTTTTAACACTCATTCAGATTAAGTATTTATTTTTCTTTGTACGTTAAGTAATAAATCAATCTATTACCTTCTTTTTTCATTCCTGCTCGAAAACACTTTTTTAAACGACAGTATCTGCATTGATTCCTCTTGTCCTTGTCAACAATACACTGTCGGTTGAATCTATCAGATATAAGAAAGGGTAAATATATTAGAGCACTAATAAAGCACAGTCCTGATTAGCAAGCAGGACAACAATTAATGTGGCCTGTCAAAACAATGTCTCCAACTATCAGCCTTCACTGATCTTTATCTTTAATTCAGCCTTGAAAAATGTTTTCCATCTGTACATCTGGCAAGACTAACTTCTAATGGGCAAGATATCATTAGTCTTTTCATCATCACAGCTAATATTTTGTATGAAAAATAGTTTTTAATGTCAATATTTGGTTTAAATAAAAAAAAACAAACATAATTTATGCCAGAAGCCTTAGGACACAAGACGTTGATAAAAAGGGCTTAAATCAAATGATAGCATGAGTAGCAGAGATCTCTATAACCTGGAGAGGGGTTCTAGGCAGCCTTGTTAAGGATAAAGAAAAGAAAAGTGCCAGAGGGCAGTCAATAATAAAGATCTGGCAGCCCTTTAAAAATAACAGTGGGGAACTATGACTAAAACGGGGAGCATAAAGTCAATGAGGAGCCTGGAAGCATATATATATATATATATATTTTTTTAAAGTCTGATGGTCCTCAGGACAGGACAAAATAATTTTGGAAAGCAATATTTGCAGAACAAGAACCAAGCTGCTGTCATTGCAAATGGACACAGAAATTTTTGGTCCCAGAATTTCAAAAGTCCAGGACTGCTGGAAGGTGTAGTTCAACTAAGTACTGTGCAGATGACCGCCCAAGTAAAGGTCAGAGGAGGTCTCCCTATTAGTCTATATACATTATGGCACACCACAAAGGAAAGGTACAGTGTGATTAGAAGAACAGTAGAACACCACAAAGCTCCTTACAGCACAAAGCTCCTTACACATAAGTTTCAGAGTAACAGCCGTGTTAGTCTGTATTCGCAAAAAGAAAAGGAGTACTTGTGGCACTTTAGAGACTAACCAATTTATTTGAGCATAAGCTTTCGTGAGCTACAGCTCACTTCATTGGATGCATCCAATGAAGTGAGCTGTAGCTCACGAAAGCTTATGCTCAGATAAATTGGTTAGTCTCTAAGGTGCCACAAGTACTCCTTTTCTCCTTACAGATAAGTTATCTCTTGTATGTTCTTCGGATCAGGGTTTATGGGTCTTAAGCACTTTTTAGAAACTCTCTTTCATCATAGAAAAACAAATGTTTAGTGAGAAATCTCCAAAATTTTGCTTATCAAAAACCCAGCAAAACATTTTTTTTTTTTTAGGAAATTCTCGATATGTTCACATACAAAAAATGGCGAGCCAGTTCCTTAGCTGGTGTACATTAATCTAGCACTAACGACTTTAACAGATCTATCCCAATGTCATCCATCTGAGGATCTGTCCTGGTGTATTTCACCTGGTGCTGGTACCTGAAACAATCAATAGCAAAAAGTAATCATGATAAAACCTGCCTCTAGTGGAGAATCAAGGTAGGTCGTTCTAAAAGATACTATCTTAAATGTGATTATCTAGATGCTTATTAAATACTTGTAATATTTATTTTTATTGTTTTTCCTATGTTGGATCATATTAAAGAAGTTCTGTATTAAAATCACAAATAAGTTTGATTCCCCATAGTTTAAATTCCAGGGTATTACTAATTAAGAGGTCTCTTGGTTTTTGGTGCTGTTTCTCTCCCTCTCTGTGTGAAACTTGCAAGCTGTTAATTGTGTTAGTACATTCTAAGACAGAGTCTATTCTCAAAGCAATTCTTTGTAACAACAACTACTCACACAGAGAGAAAGACTCAAAACAATACTCTGTAACAACAGAAATAGCACCCAGAGACTCCCCGCGCTTTTGTTGTATTCATCTTGCTTTGTTAACAATTGTGATTAAAATAGAGATAGAGGATGTATGTGGATGGATGCTTGGTGTGGATAATAACTGAATGATCAGGGAGGTGCCAGCCTAAGAATCCAGTGTCCATCGGCTGAAGAAGGCGTCAAGTGGAAATAACCAGAGGACCCCCGGAGGGCAGACTGGAATCCACCCAACAGCCTCAAGGATGGGAGAACCAACGAACAAGAGAACATCTGGCAGCACAGAGCCGTCAGGAATGTGCCATCTGCTGATTGATTCAGCAACAGCATGATGAAGCAATTCCCATAGACTAGCATAGGACGAAATTCCTATAAAAATGGACTCTAGGAAGTGAGAAATTTGGGGTCTGATTCTGCAAACCAAGTTCCAGGAGCATCAGATGAGCATCTGACAAGGCCCTGCTCCCTCCTCATGTCCAGGCCACCAGGCCAGTGCCTTGGCATGAGCAACTCTAAGGCTGGTAACGATGATAACAACCTTGCAGAACCTGTGTGTGTGTGTGTGTGTGTGTGTGTGTGTGTGTATGAATGAATGTGTGAATAAATATGAAATTGAATGGAATGTTATAGCTATAACTAACTGCTTACTATGATCCTTTCTGTATTCACAATAAATGTGGCATTTTGCCTTTTCCCCTTTAATAAGATCCTGCTGGTTTTTATTTTATTGGTATAACACCTACACATCATTTAAATGTAACAAAGAGTTTCGTAGCAATGAGTATGACTTCCCTCATGAGAGACAGGTAAACATTAATTTTTAATTTATTATGTTTGGGGGTGGGGTGTTGGGTGTAGACAATTCTTTTCAGTGATTTGTAGGAAAGTGATTTTATTCCAATTATGTTAACAAACCAACAATCATACGTTTTGTCCACTGTGTTGTTTATTCTGTTTGAAAAAGAAAGAAAATATCCACTGTATAAATTACATCCGAAAGTGATTTGCCACCAGCTTCATGAATTAAGTTCTTCAAGCTGAACATTTCAAATACCTGCAGGTATAAACATGACTCTTCCGTATGCTGCGTCTAAAGAAGCCCTTGCACCCATCACAACTGGAGGCGCCATAATGTTTGCCAGTTGCTCTATCGCCACATATTGCACAAAGTCCACTGACTCCATTGTCTGCAGTGTTCATGTTGAGTGGTTCTGCTGAAGAACTGTCTGATGAGGGACAAGAACAACATTTGTAGTTATGGTTAAAACCTTCAACAAACACACCACCATGACTAATTTACACTCACATGGAGATTTAACTGGCCTTTTCTCTTTTAATTAGCATTTTCCGTTTAGAGATCATACAAAGACAGCATGTCTAATTACATCTGGTTGTTATTCTAATGAATCCTTTCAAACCCATCACGTCTGGTTATCAGAATGTATGATGCTCATAACAAGAAATACTTTTTGTCCAAACTATTGCAGATTCAAAGATGTGGTTTGAAAGTTAAAGTGTACATGAAATACCTAACTTTCTATTTGTGTGTAACTATTTAAACATCCTTGCTAACAGAAATCATTAAGAGGGACGTTGGTACAAAACAACATTTTTCGGTCAGCTGGTAAAACATCCATAAATTAGTTCACATGACATAGCAATAGTTGGCTATTATCATTGCTTTCCTGAAAAGAATCTCAGTTATTATTGGCATAGGTATTTTTTAAAAAGTTCTGAATTAAATTTTATGAAAAAATTAGTGAAGAGGGTTAGCGTAGTGTTATTTCCCCCCCACCGCCCCCGGTGGCTTTCATCTGAAATAAAATTCTGGTGAAATCAACTCAATTTTGTGGTTCTGGTGAAGCTTCTCTGACCAGCTCTGATTAAGATACTTGCTCAAGTTCACAGAGGAAATACATAGCAGAGCTGCGAATTGAAATCAGATCTCCTGAGTCCCCATCAGTGCATTAACCGTAAGACCATCCTTGTAGACTGATTCTTACAGTTACTTAAGATAAGATCATAAATGAATTGCAACCAGAATAAGATTACATTTAATAAATATATGAATTAAAAGTTGCCAACTCATCATTTTCACTTAATAATTCAACCATCTGCATTACCAATATAAACTTCTCTTGCCTAACTTCCCTTTCCCTGTGTATATATGTGTGTGTGTATACCTTTAACAGATCCGTAAGAGTTATTTTAAGCAAAAATAACTAATTACCAAGGAAATCCCCTTTCTTAAACCAAATAAGTGGAGAAACCATCTAAAGCTCAAATAACGAATGTTTAAAGCCTCAGAATCACTTAAGAAGAGGAAATTTTTCTTTCGTGACAAATGTTATTTTTTCTTCTTCTAGGCAGAATCAATAATTAAATCTACATTTCTGTTCACTATTCTGGCTGTAAAGAAATTGAAATCGAAGCATCAGAAATCGAAACAAAAGTTTCAAGACACACCTATACAGGCCCACTTAAGCTCTATATTGTGAGATATGCAGAATGAACACTTTTCAGTTATATGGAATAAAATACAAGTACAAACGAACTTTTCCACAAATGCTGAAATATTTGCTCTGCCTTTTAAAAAACAAACTACAGACAGCAGCAATGGGTCTACAGGTTGAGAGTAGATAAAAATAATTGTTGAGCTAGTGCTAAATATACTTTCTTTATCCTTAATGAATTTCAGTTCTAAACTTTAAAGTAATTCCTTGAAATTAAAACAAAGACTAAAATTTCCTTTATGTCTGTGGTAGAATATTCAGTTATGGTAAAGTTAAATACAGCATGCTACATGTTGAGGCAATATTTTTATGAATTGAATGTCACAAAAACCCATAGCATAACAACCCATATCATAAACAATTCTAACCTAAGTTAAAATGTTACACTCATCAAATACCGAACGCCTCTCCCAGCTAAACATTAGCCTGTAGAAGTCAATGTGATTACAAACTCTCTCTGGTTCACATATATATAATTTGGAAAGACTGGATTACATTATACAAATAAAATATGAGCCAATCAATTAGAAACTAGGCAGCAAGAGCAAGGAGATCATTTTCTCCATAATCAGTAAAATTTCCCAAACCTCTGGATAATTTTGTTCTGTCATTTTAAATGTTATGTACAAAATCTACCTTCATGCCCAAACTGTCAATACTAGTTATTCATTTGTTTTACAGTAAATAAAACAACTGCTGAAAGCACTCTTTTCTTCCTTTGATTAATTGACTGATGACAGTGGAGTTCACTTACTTTCTTACACATAACTGGTATTATATTTTCTTTAACATAAAAAAGTTATTTTATTAACTTAAATTTAGTGATGAAGTGTAAAAGAGCAGATTTCTTGCCATAACCCCCCCTGCCCAAATGCTCTATTCATAAAACACTTAACTAGCACCTTACAGCATTACTCAGTTTTACTTTTTCCCGTTAACCCACAGCTTGATTTTGCATCACTGAGCAGATGAGAACTCACCATTGCCATTATACAGAATCTGCATAGTTTCAAACTCCAAAGTAGTATAAGTTGGATCTAAGACTTCACTGTAGTTTGCCATGTCCATGTCCAATACTGGTTCCGACAGCCTCATCATTGAATGGGAAAACAGTAAAAGAAAGCTACTCAAGAGTACAAATGCGGTATGATGAGATCTACTCTGTTTTGCTGGCAATCAGTGATTGATAATCCAAAGTTAACTGTAAACGGTGCTACTTATGTGCAGCGATGGGAGGAGCTGTAAAACTGCTTCTGCATGTCATATTCTGCCTATATCTTTTTTCTTTTATGGCACACCAAAGCAATTCTTGTGATAATCTTAGAATGTTCCATAGACAAGTCTTATCAGGAGTCATATTGGCTTGAATTCTGGAGGAAACTGAAAAGGTTGTCCAGCAGCTGATTCTGCTCATTTTAACAACATAGTGCCAAATGCTGCCTAGTCCCTGGATCCCTGCTACACAGTCTCTGTGAGCATGGAAGGCCTTAAACACATTCAGAACCACAGAGTAGAAAGACTTCATACTCGCATTCCCAATTGCTCTCAAAACCAATGTCCTGCACAAGTGGTAGAGAACTGGCTGCATAGAGTGCTACACCAAACCACTATGTTAGAGCCAGAAGAGTTCCCAGAAGTTACCTACTACAGGACAGGCCTAACAAAGAAAATAACAGAACGCCACTAGCGGTCACCTTCAGCCCCCAACTAAAACCCCTCCAACGCATTATTAAGGATCTACAACCTATCCTAAAGGATGACCCAACACTCTCACAAGTCTTGGGAGACAGGCCAGTCCTTGCCTACAGACAGCCCCGCAACCTGAAGCAAATACTCACCAACAACCACATACCACACAACAGAACCATTAACCCAGGAACTTATCCTTGCAACAAAGCCCGTTGCCAATTGTGCCCACATATCTATTCGGGGACACCATCACAGGGCCTAATAACATCAGCCACACTATCAGAGGCTCGTTCACCTGCACATCCACCAATGTGATATATGCCATCATGTGCCAGCAATGCCCCTCTGCCATGTACATTGGTCAAACTGGACAGTCTCTACGTAAAAGAATAAATGGACACAAATCAGATGTCAAGAATTATAACATTCATAAACCAGTCGGAGAACACTTCAATCTCTCTGGTCACGCAATCACAGACATGAAGGTCGCTATCTTAAAACAAAAAGAAAAGGAGTACTTGTGGCACCTTAGAGACTAACCAATTTATTTGAGCATGGCACCTTAGAGACTAACCAATAGTCTCTAAGGTGCCACAAGTACTCCTTTTCTTTTTGCGAATACAGACTAACACGGCTGTTCCTCTGAAACCTATCTTAAAACAAAAAAACTTCAAATCCAGACTCCAGCGAGAAACTGCTGAATTGGAATTCATTTGCAAATTGGATACTATTAATTTAGGCTTAAATAGAGACTGGGAGTGGCTAAGTCATTATGCAAGGTAGCCTGTTTCCTCTTGTTTTTTCCTACCCCCCCCCCCCAGATGTTCTGGTTTAACTTGGATTTAAACTTGGAGAGTGGTCAGTTTAGATGAGCTATTACCAGCAGGAGAGTGAGTTTGTGTGTGTATGGGGGTGGGGGGGATGTGAGAAAACCTGGATTTATGCAGGAAATAGCCCGACTTGATTATGTAAAGAGTTGTCACTTTGGATGGGCTAGCACCAGCAGGAGAGTGAATTTGTGTGGGGGGGTGGAGGGTGAGAAAACCTGGATTTGTGCTGGAAATGGCCCACCTGATGATCACTTTAGATAAGCTATTGCCAGCAGGACAGTGGGGTGGGAGGAGGTATTGTTTCATATTCTCTGTATATATATAAAGTCTGCTGCAGTTTCCACGGTATTCATCTGATGAAGTGAGCTGTAGCTCACAAAAGCTCATGCTCAAATAAATTGGTTAGTCTCTAAGGTGCCACAAGTACTCCTTTTCTTTTTGCGAATACAGACTAACATGGCTGTTACTCTGAAATATGTTAAAGGGAAGATTCCTTCTCCTCAACCCCGATGTAAAGCCACTGTATGCAGGTTTTGCAGTGAGGAAGGAGGGCAGCAGAATTTGGTCCATACACATGCTGCTCTTAAATGCTGTTTTGCAGGATTCCATACATTTATGAAGATCCCAGGAGTTAATTATGAAAACCCACTCTTTGTACAATACAGTTACATTAAAGATTTCCAGCAGAGAACTGTAAAACTAACTAGCAGGTGTTTAATTAGCTACATTAAATGACTGGTTATATACTATCTATCACAGGTTGGCCCTCTAAGGCAAGTCAAGCTCAGTGTAGCCTGTGATCAAAGAATTATCCGCTGCTGAGTGTGATGGAAACCTAATTATAATGATGACCCAGCTATGGGAAATCAGGGAGAGGACTTCTTAAACAAAATTGGGAACTCAGTCTAAGAGAGGAGACCCAGAAAAGAGGAGCAAGGGGAGTTCCCTTCTGGGAAAGGATTGGGGAAGTCAGGCTTGATGAGACCCACAGAGAGCAGGTCAGGCTCCTATGGCAGAGGGCTCTAAAAAAGGGCCTGTAAGGAACAAGGATGGTCCCTGAGGAAAGCTGCCAGAGTCCCTAACACGGGAAGTACAATAGAACCCCAGGGATATGAACACCAGAGTTATGAACTAACTGGTCAACCACACACCTCATTCTGAATTGGAAGTATTCAATCAGGCAGCAGAGACCAAAAAAAAAGTGAATGCAGTACAGTGCTGTGTTAAATGTAAACTACTAAAAATAAGGTAAAGTTTAAAAGAAAGATTTGACAAGGTCAAGAAACTGTTTCTGTGCTTGTTTCATTTAAATTAAGATGGTTAAAAGCAGCATTTTCTTCTGCATAATAAAGTTTCAAAGCTGTCTTAAGTCAATGTCCAGTTGTAAACTTTTGAAAGAACAACCATAATGCTTTGTTCAGAGTTACAAATATTTCAGGGTTACGAACCCATTCCCAAAGTGTTCATAACTCTAAGGCTCTACTGTAGAGGGAAAACCCTGCTGGGAAAAAACAACATAGGGGAACACTCTACAGGGACCAGAAGTGGGGACCAAGAAGCAGATAACTTCAGCGTGGCCCAAGATGGGCAGAAGAATCATTTCTTTAGATGTTTATTTGGAATTTCAGATGGACTTTTTGTTATCCTGGCAGAGGATTGAACCTAAGGTGACCTGGACAGAGGATGAAGCCATGGAAAACTCAAACACACACAGGCCAACAGGGCCATGGAAATGGCTACTTGGGGTACAAGAGGTGAAGTTTCCTGCAACAGCACTACCTGATGCCAGAGACACTACAGCAGTAAGATCTACCATTCACAGTATAATAAAAATGAAAAGCTATTTGGAGGTGGCTGTTCTTGCAAAAATAGCCATCAAACAATTCCTTTGAAAGCCCCTTTAATTACAACAACAAGTCATGCGGGGTGGGGGGAGGGGGAGGGGAGTGGCACTATATGTGAAAGAAAATGCAGAATCAAATGAAATAAAAATCTTAAATGAATCCACATGTTTCATTGAATCTCTATGGATAGTAATTCCATGCTCTAATAAGAATATAACAGTAGGGATCTATTATCGACCACCTGACCAGGACAGTGATAGTGACGATGAAATGCTAAGGGAGATTAGAGAGGCTATCAAAATAAAAAACTCAATAATAGTGGGGGATTTCAATTATCCCCATATTGACTGGATACATGTCACCTCAGGATGAAATGCAGAGACAAAATTTCTCTATACTTTAAATGACTGCTTCTTGGAGCAGCTGGTACAGGAACCCACTAGTCCTGAGTGGAGCGCAGGATCTGGTCCAAGAGGTAACTATAACAGGACCGCTTGGAAATAGTGACCATAATATAATAACATTTAACATTCCTGTGGTGGGAAGAACACCCCAACAGCCCAACACTATGGCATTTAATTTCAGAAAGGAGAACTATGCAAAAATGAGGAGGTTAGTTAAACAGAAATTAAAAGGTACAGTGACTAGAGTGAAATCCCTGCAAGCTGCATGGACACTTTTCAAAGACACCATAATAGAGGCTCAACTTAAACGTATACCCCAAATTAAAAAACACAGTAAAAGAACTAAAAAAAGACCCACTGTGACTTAACAACCATGTAAAAGAAGCAGTGAGAGATAAAAAGGCATCTTTTAAAAAGTGGAAGTCAAATCCTAATGAGGTAAATAGAAAGGAGCATAAACACTGCCAAATTAAGTGTAAAATTGTAATAAGAAAAGCCAAAAAGGAGTTTGAAGAACAGCTAGCCAAAAACTCAAAAGGTAATAACAAAATGTTTTTAAGTACATCAGAAGCAGGAAGTCTGCTAAACAACCAGTGGGGCCCCTGGACGATCGAGATACAAAAGGAACACTTAAAGACGATAAAGTCATCGTGGAGAAACTAAATGAATTCTTTATTTCAGTCTTCACAGATGAGGATGTTAGGGAGATTCCCAAAGCTGAGCCATCTTTTGTAGGTGACAAATCTGAGGAATTGTCACAGACTGAAGTGTCACTAGAGGAGGTTTTGGAATTAATTGAGAAACTTAACAGTAACAAGTCACTGGGACCAGATGGCATTCACCCAAGAGTAAGAACTCAAATGTGAAACTGTGGAACTATTAACTATGGTTTGTAACCTGTCCTTTAAATCAGCTTCTGTACCCAATGACTGGAAGATAGCTAATGTAATGCCAATATTTAAGAAGGGCTCTAGAGGTGATCCTGGCAATTACAGACCGGTAAGTCTGACGTCAATACCGGGCAAATTAGTTGAAACAACAGTAAAGAATAAAATTGTCAGACACATAGAAGAGCATAAATTGTTGCGCAAAAGTCAACAGGGTTTCTGTAATGGGAGATCATGTCTTACTAATCTATTAGAGTTCTTTGAGGGGGTCAACAAACATGTGGACAAGGGGGATCCAGTGGACAAAGTGTACTTAGATTTCCAGAAAGCCTTTGACAAAGTCCCTCACCAAAGGCTCTTATGTAAATTAAGTTGTCGTGGGATAAGAGGGAAGATCCTTTCATGGATTGAGAACTGGTTAAAAGAAAGGGAACAAAGGGTAGGAATAAATGGTAAATTTTCAGAATGGAGAGGGGTAACTAATGGTGTTCCCCAAGGGTCAATCCTAGGACCAATCCTATTCAACTTATTCATAAATGATCTGGAGAAAGGAGTAAACAGTGAGGTGGCAAAGTTTGCAGATGACACTAAACTTCTCAAGAT